GTGGTTCCCACCCCTCTTATTATCGTGAAACACGACGCAACTTGAAGGTCAAGTTAAAAGAACACCAAAAAAAAAAACCCTTCTCAAGTTCGTGAACATATGAACAAAAACAAACAGTTTTTCTGAACAGAATGTCGCCATACTGAAGCATGAACCTGCCTTTAACAGAAGAAAATTGGAGAAGCCTTATTAATATAATTAAAGAATCCCACGATTAACAAATGACATCCAGGTTTAACTGTATGTGTCTTTGATTAGTATTTCCACGGACATTTCTAATCTTGTGCAAATCTTTCACGTATTCATATTTATTCACTTGTTTTGTTTTTTCTTTTTTGTTCAACTACAAATAAACAATCTGTCAGTTCACGCGAATTGAAATGCACAAACATAAGCAACTATTATCGTTTATCTAACTTAAATGCATTGTGAGATTGTTGAATGTTGACTTAAAAACCTAAACCTTCTTTATCGTTAAAACCTGTGTACTTGCGAATGAACACAAAAGTGATAGAAATATCGTACCCGTTTCAAAAATCTTCCTTATTGTAAAATCTGTAACTTGTAATAAAAATGCTTTTAGTCGATAAGTAAACTCAAAACGCAACTATTAATAAATAGTATAATTTTCAATCGACTACAATCAAATCAAATAAATAAATACTTCTAAAAGATAGAGCAAGCTAGTGGCGTGTCCAGAGGAGTTGCCAAAAAATCTCACCCTTCAACCTGTGTTGCATAAACACAATATGAATACGGTCTGAATTGTAATTTCTAGATATTGCCAATTTCATGAACAATTAAAACATGGCATATTATTCTCTTCCTACCAGCATTTTTTTTGGGGGGGGGGGGTAGTGAAAAGAGTCTCAGAAAACTGTCTATAAATTAATAGACTTTCTTCTAAGAGAAGATACCCTTCACCCACCCTCCACGATATACTTTCAGCCCTCCTGACCAAATCCTGTCGGATATTAAGAAATTTCCTTTCTTTATTAGTTAAAAACATTTGTTCCAGTATCACATTATTACACAATAAATACATTAAACAAGGGAAGTAGCCAGCACTACAAGATTTAAAAAAATGTGGACTTTTTTTCTACACAAATCATTTAAGTGATTTACATGAAAGTTATGTGTTTATTTAAAAACATCAGGAGATACTGGATGTTTTAATTTTGTTTTTAATATTTAGGTGGTCGGTCGACGCCACCTGGATACCTCTTATATTAAAGCTGATAGTTATGTAAGTGAATAGGTTTTAAATATTCATCATATAACTATATGTTTGCGTTCCAAGCACCGACATATTTCAGTTTAGGTGATATAGTATAGAATAAATTGTTTTGTGAACGTCAAGGTATAAGTACAAATTAATTACATTTATATTTGCATATATTTTTTACTTTCTTGCAGTCGCCAAGTAATCATCATTAGCCATAAGTATATTAAATTATATTATTATTATAATATGCATCTTGTATTATGTTACACTACGAGTAACTATACAAACTTTTATTTATTAATATTTAAGTCCAGAGATAAAACTAACGTAGATTTTGTCATATCTACGAAATCTATTATGATAGATTATAATCTAAATGATAGCAAGTGGCGTATAAATAATTAACTACATTTGACCGGAATATTGGTTAATAACGAAGGCATCAAATATTGATCTGCCAAATATTTTGCGGTTTATTACGTCTTGCTGTTTCTGTTTCATTTTTTGTTTTTGTCATATTTTCCAGTACATTTTATAGAAAATCCTAGTCATTAATTTATGACGTAAATCTACAATAATAATAGGTTAATGATGTCAGTTGATATTCAAAGCTACAAACTTTCAACCTACGCAAGGCTAATGTAAGAAAGAAGTTGAGCAACGAATTCACGCACTGTTAACGATATCTCAACAACATTTCTAACGTTCAAACTTTATACAGTAATATTATGTATTTGTTTGTTTGTTATGAATTTCGCGCAAAGCTACACGTAGGCTATCTGCGCTAGCCGTCCTAATTTAGCAGTGTAACACTAGAGGGAAGGCAGCTAGTCATCACCACCCACAG